AAATTCCCAAGTCAGTTTTTGGTTGTGGAACTCTTTGCAAACAGCGTGCAACACAGCAGGCTGAGGCACTCCTGGAAGCACTCCCCTGCAGGCCTTCTAGAGCTTTGGCTATACTCTGCTGTCCAAGGTGGAAATGTTAGGTGAAAATAAGGCAGCTTTGAGTTTGCAACCCATCAGACTGCAAAGAAACAGAATATTGATTACACTTTTAAAATACTTTTTTCCACTTTGAAATTTCAAGAAAACACTAATATAAAGCAATTGCAAGTGTTTTCATAATAATTAATATTGAAACAGTATAAACTGTTGCCTTGTAATGTTTCTGTGTTTACCTACAGTTGTTGTGTTGTTTTAATTTTTTTTTACACTTTCACAATATCTGTTCTTAGCACTTTTAATATTTTCTTTCTCAAATATAGGGTTTCTCATTAGAACAGTTGAACTAGGTATCTGAATATCAGCTGGGAAAATTTTCGTTTAGCCACAATTACTTCAACAATCTACTTTGTTTATGACATTGTTCACTCATCTGCTTTCTATGTTTTTAGATCTCTGACCTTTAGTCTTCAGAATACCTAAGTATTCTGTAGCCCTCTAAAGAGCTCTTTTATTTGATTAACATTGCTGCTACCCTTTCTTGGAAGCTGAAGAGCCAGAGATAAGTTTGCGGCTGTGTTTGGTGATCAGCTCTGCAAGCTTTCATAGCTCCTGCATCTGCTACACTGAAGTCAGCTGGGTGGCAGCGAGAAGGCTTTGCGCGCAGCAGAACCCGCTTGTGCAAGCAGTGTGTCAGTCACTTCAACAGAAAGTGGGCTTGTGCTGCTTTGTGCTTGATTTACTGTGCACTTCATTTGGATGAATTCTTTAATTTGGGTTAATGGGTTTTGGCCTTGGGTGGTTCTTGTCAGTAAGTTGATTATGTGGATTCTACTTGTGGTGTTGGGATATTTTTCAGTACGATCTGTGTTTCAGAGCTTGAAGAAAAATTCTGTATAGTATTATTCATGCCCTTGTATAACTTTGTTCTTCAGAATAGAGGTGTTTGCATCAGAAATAAAACTTCTGATAATATTGCCTACTTGATCATTTCAGAAGTAAGGTTCGAGGGTGGAAGGTTTATAATTTTTCTGTGTTATGTCCTCACTTAAGTTAATGGGGCAGGATTGGGCTGGTTTTGAGTGTGGTAATTATCACTTGCTTTTACTGTGGTGTTAGGTAGATGTTCATAAAGATGACCGGTTACGTTGTGCTGTGCTTAAGAAAACGTGATTATATGTATGTGTGGGCAGTGGGGTTTGTTGCTTAGTTTTCTCCTGCACTCTTCTTTTTCCTTCTGACTTCAGTATGGCTTGGAAGCCCCTTGAGTTATTAATGTCATTGTGATCCAATTTCTGTGGAAATTTAAAAGAGCATATGAAGCAATCACATTCAATTGAATTAATAACAGTAATTATTATAAATAGTTGAATACTGTAAAGGTTTAAGGCTAGTCTGTAACCCATTAAAATCTATGGGGATTTTTCCAGTGATCTTACTGGCCTTTAAAACAGATTCCTAATGTAAAGCAATTTTGCTTGGACTATCTGGTTGAAAACAAAGGAGTTCCCTGATCTGGCAGTATGAAAACGTGTAAGTAATATTTTAGTTTTGTATATATTGTAAATTGATATATAATAAACATGTTTACAGTTAGCTATCTTTAATTTGCCACTAGCTCACTAATAAAGATAAATTCTAGAAGCAGAAAGTATGAAGTGCATCCAAACATTCATCTAACGCATGGTGCTTTTTGCAAGGCATTTATTCAAACTGTCGTACATGGCCTTCCTTTTATGAGTGAACTCAATTTTAGAGAAACATTATTTGTGGTGGATTTAGAGCTGTTCTTTTTAGAATAATGTGTGTTAGGTACTCCTGTTCCCTGTTGTGCTGGGGAAAAAAAAAAAAGTGAAGAAATTTGTGTGTTTACCAATGAGAGCGGCAGTGGATTTTCAAAATGAAAACACATCGTATGTTGTGTTGTAAGGAGGAAAAGTAAATGCTGTGAGGAGAAGGGTGATGGAGCTCTTGGGCAAACTGCAGTGGAAGATCTGGTGCGTGTAGTTACTGAATGCATATCGTTATTAGGTCAAAATACAAATAATTTCTGAATGCCACAGTGGTGTTCTGTCCCCCTACGTGGGGTGTCCTTCTACAGCAGGGGATTCCTGTGTCAGAATCCAGGGCTTTCCAAATTTTTCTGTGCTGTCCTGTGGCTTTTACCTAGCGTTATAGGGTTGGACAGAAACACAGCTCGCTCTATTATTTTAATTATAGACTGTGTTTTGGGAATATACGTTTTGGAAATTAGATTTTCAGAAGCATTCGTTTTTGGGCCGGGGAAAAAGAGGGGAGCCAATGCTAAACACTTCAGACTCATTTATTTATTTTAAGTCTGAAGCGTTTAGCATTGGCTCGTTCTCTCCCTCTCTCTGCCTCCCTCTCTCTCTATGTACAGATAGTATCTATTTGGTTAAACTCCCTGCTGACAGAGTGATGACACTTTGGTAAATAATTGTAACAGATGAAATCAAGTTCATCTGCCTTGCCATTGCCTTTCAACTTGATCAGACTTATTCCAGACATAGTTTTTCCATTCTGGACTTTTCCTGAACAGAGTCTACTAGTTATGCTGAATCATATGTTATTGCCTGTGTGACGTGAAGAACTCTCTACTGAGAGTTTGCAACATAAGCAGGATTTCAATTAAGGTGAAGAGACACAAAAAAAGAAAAAAGCTAGTGAAGGCATGATTGGTGTAATATCTGAATTAATCTGTATAAAGGGTTCATACCAAATGAGACTTCTAGATAAAAGGTCACAGCTAATTTCTGCCTTTAGACAAGACTCGTACACAAACATAGTCAGCTTTTTCTTTTATGAACCAATTAGTTCTGCAAGTGTCATACCGCTAGAAGTTGCATATTGGTCCAATTTAAAAGGCACCACTTACGTATGGAGTTTGCCTTCTTAAAGTCCACTTTAATGTTTATTCTCATAATGAAGTCAGCATAAGACCTTTTTGGCTTTTTTCACATTAACTTTTGTGACATAATACAGATTTTGGATAAAATTAATCTCTACAGCAAGAACACTTCAGAAGAATTTTTAAATTTTGAAAAAAAATCTAGTTCATTTTGGTACTAGGAAGCTAAATTTACCTGGCAGCATTCTCCTTTTAAAGGCAGATTGTCATTGCAATGCATGGAAACGAATTCTGTTGTGTCTTTTGCTTTACTTGCAGGCTACTTTTTTGAAAGAAGATCTTATGTCCTCAGGGCTTTCACTGTATGAGACATCTTTTAGTGAACTTCCTGCTCAAAGGGTGATATTTCTGAAGTCTCCACTATTCTTCCTTCCAGACAAATTCCATTATGTATTGCCAGTAACAATGCCCTGTCACTCTGTTAGGAATTAAATTAAGTAATACATGTTCAGGTTGCTGGAAGATGGATGATGCAGTAGAAGTATTTCAGCCAACCTTAAAAAATACATTTACTTAATGGCTAAAAATAGGATGCTTCCCTTTAACGCTTAGATTTGTACAAATGAATGTTAGAATACCAGTAGTAGCCCTGTGGATAGAGCCTTTTGAGGGGGGATTTTTTTTTTTTTCTTTAGAAACAGTGCTGGTACAGTGCAACTCCTGAAGAACAGAGTGGTTGCATTATAGTTGTCTTCTGTAAGTAGATAAAGGATTTGGATACTAGAAGACTCAACATAATATGTTTTCTGCTCTGGCTAACTTCTTTCAATCCAAGCCAGTGAGTTGCAAATAAAGCCAGTTAAATCCTATTAGGTTTCCTGGATATTCATATTGAAATTATATTCTTAATATTGTGGAATCAGTGCAAGTGAGATATGCATTCACTTAGCATTCTCATCAGAAACTTAGCAAGCAGATGAACTTGCCACTCCTAAAAGCTAGCTCTACTTTAAAGAGTGTATGTGATGTTGACGTAGAGAAGATTGTATTCTGGCTCACGTGGAGTAGCTGGTCCAGTAGCTTCTGATTTGTTTCTGTCCCACTTTAAAAACTACCGGGACATGCTCGTCCTGACTTTGCCTGTTCTTCCCACTTCATTTTGTTACTTCAAAGTCTAATTTTGCAAACAGATGTGTTAGTTTATGTATGTGAATTGTCTGTTTGGACTCCATGGAGCTACTTGGGTGAGAAGAAAAATAAGCCAGTGTTTCCAGGATCAGCCTTGCTTTTTGCATCTTGTTGAGATAGACACAATCTCTTCCAGGCTGTATTGCATCAGGTGTACTAGGGGGACTATTTTACTGCATATGATTTGAAAGGATAAAAGGAAAATATGCTACTGGGGCTGTAGGAATTCAGAGAAATCTGTATTTTCATAGGTATGTTTAGAAAGGATAAGAATAACCTACAAAACTTGTGATGTTTTGAATGCCAGAGTATGAGCAGATACAAAGCTTTTTTTTTTTTTAAGGTTGAAAATATTGCTGCATCTGAACAACCAACTGAAATAATACTTTCTTGAGGGTATCGATTTAGCGCTTCTGTCTTTAAAATGCACAACGTAGAGAAGTGCGTGAACGTGCTTGCCAGGTAGCTGTGGGGAACGCGCCACCTCAGTGTCTCGGTAGGTTTCGAGGCCCAGGATCTCCCTACAGCTGACGGGAAGGGCACGGTTACTGCTGAGCCTTCCAGTTAGCCGTCAGGGCAATGGAGACGCCAGGTAGCGGCTTGCCACTCGCTGCGCTGTGGAAAGACCTCTCTGGGCAGCCCCACTGTGTCTTCTGTCACCTGGCGCTGAAGTGCTTGGCGGTAATGGGGGCAGACTGTTTTTCAGCTTGTATGCAGAAGTTGTAAATGAGTGAAATGTGTCAAAAGAAAAAAAAGTTAAAAACCAAATCACAATTTGTATGTAGCCTAATTACTATTTGCTGTGTCACTCAAATCCTCCTAGTTACTTTTGTATGCTGTTTTCCAGATTATTTGAAGGACGCTCACCAAGGAAGCCTGAGAAGCTTAAGACCCTTTTCTGCTATTTTAGGAGAGTCACAGAAAAAAGTATGTCCTTTAGTACTTTCTTTGAGCTACGGAACAGGTACATGATGAGTTGAATCTCATTGAATTTAGAAATGGCTGCGCAGCAATAATGATGGAAGTTCCTAACAAGAGCTAGCAAGCTGACTGCACTAGGGTTCATATCCTTGTAGCTTCCTCCCATGTATATGATGAAAGTAACTTAATTTTTTTGTACAGAGGTTATTTTGTGTTCTTTCTCTTTGTGACCTAGATGTATAGGACTGTGTGTATGTATATATACACACATACCCTCATGGTGTATGGTGATTAAAATCACATAGATATGTGCCTAGGTTCTATTGCACACCTAAAGAATCTGAATCAAGTTTCAGATTTCCAGCTGTATGCACATCTAGTACCTAATTCTGAGGGGTTTTCCCTATTATGTTGATATTCCAGTTTTTTTCCCTTCTGTTCTCCTAAAGGAAGGCTGTTGAGAAGTTTTCCCAGGTTAAAATAGAAAAAGTGGTATAGCAAGATGTGAAATATCCTCATCTCTTTTGGGAGTTAGCATGGTGTTTTCCTTAGTGTGTTTAATCAGATCTTTTGTTGTTACCGTGAATATGAACATCTGCCTGAACCCTCAAAAATATATGCAAATATTTGTATGAAGAAAATCATATCAGAGCTTACATATTGTATTGAGGAGAAAGGACTTCTACTGCAGTAGCATACATCACATCTGCAGCAATATTTTGTTAAAGTAATTTCTGAATTACAGAACATTTTCTTTACATGACAGTTTCTCACTATTAGCCTCATATTTTCTCAGAAGGGTTTTGTTTTAAAAGGGTAAGAATTTTAAGCTATTAAGTAGAAATCCCTTTACTTGATTCACTCTATCTTCAGTATTTATATTTCCATCACAAATTAAATGCAACTACATCCTGTTTCAGCTATTAAACTTTAAGCAGTGTCTATAGAACTAAATCTCTGAGGTCAAAAGTAAATTATGATCTGTGTATATGCCTGAGAAGTATAGTGCACTGGCTTTTTTTTTTTACACTTGAGTAGTAATGTTTTAATGCAAACCAGATCCTAAATTTATGCAGCCATCCCTGCCCATGCATATGAAATCCATGGGGAATATGCTTTATGAAACTCTTTTGTATTAGATTTCTTAACATTATAATTTCAAATAATATTTAATGAGATTCTCACATGTTCTCTTCTTGAATTAAAAATTTGCATCATACCTTTAAAAGACCCCATGTCTTGTTCTTTTGTGTATAATAAATTAATAAGACAGAAGTAACTTAGCCCTATAAATTACTATAATACTTTCATAGCTCTTTATTATAAATGGTAATTGAATTCCTTGTGACAGAGTGCAGTGGAGGCTATGTAAGCTGAAGTCTTTGTGCTATGCTTAATTTGTAAAATATCACCCCGATATCACAGTGCTCTTGAGGGAAAGCACTTGATTACTGAAAGTGTACGTTTTTTAAGGGCAAGCAACCCTTTGTTTTCCTTAAACCCTTATGGTCTGTAAGAAAGTCCTAGGGCTATTTAATGCTTTTGGAAGGATATGTTTGTGCCTTACAGGTTAAGTCTTTTCAGTATTTTTTACAAACTAATACAGCAGGCTTAGTGTAGCAAAGAAGAAAGTCTCAAATGAAGTTTCTGTTAGGATGGTATGTTTTGCTTCTGTAGCACAACTGCATTTTTTTTTTTCTTTAGTAAAGCAAGGAGAGACGATGATTGTACATCTTCCTTCCCTGTAACGAGTAATGACTCCTCTTTTCCTTTTGAGTGCAGTAGTTCTTCCTCATTTGCAGTACAGTGAATTTTACTAGCATCCTGGCGGGGCTGGAAGCAGCTCTATTTGAATTCCGCCAACGCTGCATCTTTATTGAGACAGTAGGGCTTGCTGAGAAATAGGACGTGATTCTTCATCTATCCATAGGTTGAGTACTCTGTGCATTGCCTGTAGACCAAAAACAACAGATAGACCAAACCTCTGATGTATGACTTGTTTTCTTAAGTGGCAGCACATTTTACTCTTACCTCAACTATCAAGTCCTTTTAGTAAAGTTTACAGTTTAAGTGCAAATCACTTAGAATTGATCTGGAAAAAGAAAAATACTCAAACTGTGAGGGGAAACACGTTGGTTATTAGTAATGCCTTACTGCCACTTCAGTGCTTTTGGTTGATGCAAAGTGAATAAATAAAAGGAAGTAGATGCAGAGAGGTGAATGTTTTGCTCTTCATGTTAATTGTTTTCAATTTGAGCGTGGACTGTCAGGGCAAGACACAAAGCTGCTTTTGAGGAAAGTTAAATTCTTGTACTTCTGCCAGTAACTGTGTCCGTTGTAGTTTTAAAAGCTTACCACTTAATCTAAGGACTTAAATTCTAGCAGTTAATGTATTTTCCTCTGGCGTTGGTTTGCCTGTAGAACCTACTGGATTGGTGACGTTTACAAGGCAGTGTCTCCAGGAGTTTCCAGACTGGGAAAGGTAAGTCAAGCATACCATTAAATAAAAGAAATTGCTTAAATTATTGATATCCAAATCCTATTCTTAAGGAATTGATACAGGCTTGGAATTGTTGCAGAAAACAATGTTTGGTATGGGTTGTAACTGAGAGAAGTCCAGAAGGAAGTGGGTGAACTGACAGAAGTAGTTTGGGTGCTCTGCATTGTTGAGCTTTTTTTTTTTTTTTTTTTTTTTTTTCTTTTTAAGTACACAGGGCCTCTGGAAATTTTTTAAAA